CGAGCATTCAACGTTGAAAATATGTGTTGCAGCTTCAACGTTGAATATCGACGAGCATTCAACGTTGAAAATATGTGTTGCAGCTTCAACGTTGTTTCTACATTGAAATATCAACGAACATTCAACGTTGAAAATATGCTGCAGCCTCAACGTTGTTTCAACGTTGAAATATCGACGAACATTCAACGTTGAAAATATGTTGCAGCTTCAACGTTGTTTCAACGTTGAAAAAAGGTTGAGGATTCAACGTTGAAACCTCAACGTTGAAACAACATTGATATATAGGTGATCAACGTTGCAACCTATATTCAACTTCCTTTCAACGTTGAAACAACGTTGCGTGCCTGCTGGGTAATTTATCTCTAATTCATAATTATCTCCTCTTTGAAAATGGCGCGGCCCTTCATTTGAACAAACTTGAATCCCCTTTACCCAAGGATACTTTGTAGCAAGTTTGATTGAAATTGGCCCAGCAGATTTTGAGAAGAAGATGAAAATGTGGAAGGTTAACAACAACGACAAAGACAACAATGACGACATCGACAGACAACGGACAAATTTTGATCAGAAAACCTAACTTGAGCCTTTGGCTCAGGTGAGCTAAAAAGTATTTCTATTTGAAAAGTTTCTATTGAATTTATCCTTTAAATATGTCTCAGAATTTTTTCTACCTTCTAAAACTCCATCTCCAACAATGAAGACATGTTGATGGACTTCCAGTCCCCTGGTGGACTCTGTAACTTCACCGACATCTTGGCGTTTCCATCTTAATCTCTTCAGCAGTGTTGTTAGTCCCCTGGACGACATTGTAGCTTTGCTGACATTTTGACTTTGCCCTCTTAATCTCTTTAGTAGCGTCGTTTTTCCAGCCTCAGCACATCCAACAAGTATTCCTCTGGCATGGGAAACAGTTGTCTTCTCCTTTCTCAGAAACTTCTTCAATTCATCCACTTTATTTATATCATCACTGCTTGGATCTATAACAAAAACAGTCATGTTTTTAGAATAAAAATGAAAACACACGCATGAAGCACTAGAATTTGATTTTTTAAAATGCACTTTCCAGGTGTTCCAGGGAAAAAAATATGTTATTCTAGATCTGTTATTTTTATGTCTTATCTTTCTAATTCAGTCCGAGAATAATATCTGATATTTTTGCTTTGGTCATATGATTTATGTCATGAGCTACGAACAAGGATTGAAATTACACTTTTTATGTAAAAAAAAATTAATTCCTCTGTTTAAAGTTTACAAACATAGATAATTAAATACTACTTTTGTATCAGAAAAATAGTAATGTCTTTTACTCATGAAACAAGAGATCCATGGGCGACATGAGTCACCTGAGTAACTTTGGAGATGCCTTTTTTGTTAGTCCATTATTTATACACTGAATTGACGACAAATTTTTCCGTTATTCCTGATCATGACAACGAGCACACGGCGGATGTGACCGGTCGGCAGGGGATGCTCACTCCTCAATGGCACATGATCCCACCTCTGATGGTTCGGAGGTCCATGTTTGCTCTGCTCTTATTTTGTATATTGTTTAATGGACGTTGAGATTGAATACTGTTCATTATTTCAATATCCTTCCTTCAACCAAAATCTCCCCCCTTGTAATACATAGTGAGGCCATATCCTCCCCCTCCCTGGGGTCATGATTTGAACAATTTTGAATCAACACTACCCAGAATGCTTCCGTATAAATTTCAGCTTTACTGGCTCAGTGGTTCTTGGAAAGAAATTTTCTATTTTTTTTTCTATATATTTCTATGTTAAATGTGGATTCCCTATTGTGTCAATGTGGCACCACCCGCCCTACCCCCGGGGGTCATGATTTTGCCAATTTAGAATCAACACTACCCCCATGATACTTTAACACAAGTTTCAGCTTCCATGGCCTGTTGATTCTTGAGAAAATGATTTTTAGAGAATTTTTCCTATACATGTCTTTGTTAAACTAGGATCCCCTACTGTGACTTCACCCTTAGTATTCCCATGGGCATGATTTTAATAGGTTAGAATTTTCCTTTCCTAAGGATACTTCCGGGTAAGTTTCATTTTTTCTTTGCCACTGGTTCTTGAGAGGAAGATTTCTAAAGATTTTCCCTACATATTTCAGTGTTAAACTTTGATTCCTTATTGTTGTTCCGCCTTAACCCCCCCGGGGGGTCATGGTTTTAACAATTTAGAATCTACACTTCGCCAGGATGCTTCTACATAAGTGTCAGGTTTTCTGCCCAGTGTTTCTTGAGAAGATTTTTAAAGATGTTTCCTATATATTATTTAAAAATTAGATTCCCCATTGTGCCCCCATCCTACCCCTGGGGGTCATGATTTTAATAATTTAGAATCTACACTACCCCAGGAAGCTTCCACATAAGTTTCAACTTTTCTGGCCAAGTGGTTCTTAAGAGGTATATTTGTTAATGACCCCACCCTATTTCCATCTTTTCTTGATTATCTCCCATTGTAAGGTGATTGGCCCTTCATTTTGACAATTTGAATTCCCCATCACGCAGGGATGCTTTGTATCAAGCTTTGTTTATATTAACCCATAGGTTCTTAAGAAAAAGTTGACAATTTGAAAAGTTTACAGTTGGACGGACAGCTTGAAAGATGGACGCCGGACAAAATGTGATCAGAAAAGCTCACTTCGGCTCAGGTGACCTATTTTGCTAATAAACTAGAAGTCTCTGTCAAGACTGAATCTCAACTGGTTTGTCCTTATAGTAAGGAAGGGAAAAGTACTTAAGCAGTTGGGAATTGAAACTTAACAACAGCAATAAATAGAATAATGATCCTTGATAAAATCTCTTAATGTTCTTAGTGTAGTCTGCTTGTGTGCCAAGTTATATTGAAATCAGACCAAAACTGTTGGAGGAGTGGCATTTTGAAACAATTTTACAGAAATTTCTATCTTTAGTAAACACGGCAACACCGTTCATTGAAATTAAAAACAGATATACAGAATTATGTATCTTAGTGTGATCTACTAGTGTGCCAAGTTATATTGAAATCAGACCAGAACTGTAGGAGTAGCATTTTAAAGGAATTACACAGAAATTTCTCCTTTTGGTAAACACGGCAACACCTTTTATTGAAATTAAAAACCATTAACAGAATTATGTATCTTAGTGTAGTCTATTTGTGTGCCAAGTTATATTGAAATTAGATCAAGGATTTTAAAATGTAGGAGGAGTAGCATTTTGAGAAATTGTTTACAGACAAACACACAGACGGACAAACAATGGACGCATAGGGTCTCTGACCAGTAGATCTTAAAACTAACTGCGTAATCTTATCAACCTAAAGACGTTTTAACAAGAGGTCCACATCACATTTGCTTGTTTTCTTTTATTTTATTTTTGTTCCTGAGAATTATTCACTTTTTAACATCATACATTGTGTAAATACAGTACAAAAAGGGTTTTTTCACTAAAACAGTACTAAAAAGAAAAAGATTAAATAGCATGATAAAGTGAGACACCGTGTGACACCTCCTTCCCATCCAAACCTACCCCCAAACAATTGTGTGTGTGTGTGTGTGTGTGAGAGGAAGGGAGAGGGTGAGGGTGTGTGTGTGTGTGGTGAAGTTGGGGGTGGGAGGGGGGTTACACTGGTATGACTCTACAATTCTGGCAAAACCCACCCCCAAAAAATTGAGTGTGTGTATGTGAGGGAGGGAGGGAGGAGGTGAGAGGGTGTGTGTGTGTGTGGAGAAGTGGGGGGGGGGGGTGGGGGTTACACTGATATGACTCTACAATTCTGGCATCTGGTTTCATTTTAACCATAAAATCTCCATGTAATATGCATGTAGAATGTCACCCCAGTACACAGTGTAGATTTACTGAACACCTGCCACAGAAATACACAACATTCCTAGACAGAGCTGTGTTAATATCAATGTCACCCCAGTACACAGTGTAGATTTACTGAACACCTGCCACAGAAATACACAACATTCCTAGACAGAGCTGTGTTAATGTCACCCCAGTACACAGTGTAGATTTACTGAACACCTGCCACAGAAATACACAACATTCCTAGACAGAGCTGTGTTAATATCAACATGATCAATGGTGTCTATATCTCACTGTCAGTACTGTACAAAATGTTTATAGTCAATGTGATTAAACTTGTTTGAACACATTGTATGATTCAAAGTATATATTATCTAATGATAAAAATGATAAGAACTAGGACATTAACCCCCCAACACCAACACTCATGAACCCCAATTCGACAATTATTTTTCCATTTCCTAACATGTACAGTGATCTATAAATTCAACCTAAAACCCATTTAGCAGAGGAATATAAAAATATCATGTTAACTCAAATAGCAGAACGTATCAAAGAGAATTATTTAACCATGTTTAACAAATCATTATATAGTCTGTAGAAAATCAGGAATTGTTTGTCATAGACAACAAAGTTAACAACTAAGTACACGTTAAAATAACTCTAACATGTCTAATTAAATCTTATATGAAAATCAAATCACAAATAATTTGACAACTTATCAATTAATATCCTTTCTTAAAAAAATTTCTTGTTACATAACACAATTAAGTTAGAATTCAATTAACCATGTAATGTATTTACATTTAAAAGTTATCAGTATCATAATTCCGTAATGTCTTCTAATTACACATAAAACAATTACTATAATATATTGTACACACTAAACACTGTAAACAAACATATAATTATACTTTAGTATTACATACCAGTCAGATTATCCCCTCCATAGATAAGTCTGTAGATGTCCACTGTGTTGTTGTTGTATGATCCTACCCAGACAGAGCGGGTGTTGTCATCATAACTCAGGCTCCATGGTCTGTATATCCCCATGATCCCGTGATGTACTGTTTCTATCTCTGTTAGATAGTTACCGTCTTTATCAATGATCTGCACTGTGTAGGTGTAAGCATCACACACCAGGATGTGTGACAGCGCGTCAGTACAGATTCCACATGGATATAGTTCTGATTCAGATGTAGGACCTGTGTAGGAGAAGCGATGTCTCCCTCTTCTGTCTGTCACCACTACACCACGGCCAGAGTCAGACACAATAACATCTCCATTGCGGTTCTCTGTGATGTAGAGAGGTGTACTATACAGTCTCTGACCTGTGTTGTCGTGCTGTATGGTCTGTATGTGTCGTCCTGTGTTAGTGTAACGGTTTACCTGGCCTGTATCTGTATCACGTCTAAACATCCCGACCAGCAGGTCTCCAGTGGATGGGGAGCTGTAGACACTGTATGGTCTCCATGGTGATGTGTCCGGTATAACTGTGGTCTTTACTTTATCTGTAGACAGTTTAATGATGTAACTGTCACTGTCTATATAAATCACTTTACTATCCCGAGTCACAGTATGTACTCCATAACCAAATTCAGGTAAATCCGTCACACTACCTAGTATGCCACCTCTCGTTTTAGTTAAGATTAAATTGCCTTCATTATCACTGATCCAGAACCGGTCTGTAGACACTTGGGAAATGTGAAAACATCCACTAACACCTGGCACTGTGACAGATTTCTTTAACTCCAATCTAAACATCACCGACACCAGACGTCTTCTGTTTCCTGTGACTTTATAATCCTGTGTTGATTTCCTTCAGTAAGGGAGATCTCTCTGTAAATTACAACATTGTGTAAAAATAATCTAACTCAACACAAGAACAGGACTCTCTTTATGATCTACACATCTTAAATGTACATTTTTTTTTTGGTTTTAGATAGAACTTATACAGTGTTTAAACAATTAAATAGAAATTTATGACAGAAAAACATAAATAGCTTGACACTTGCCTCTCAATGCTTTGTCTAATTCATGGCAGACTCCAAGTGTTCTCAAGTAAAACTGTCTAACAAAGTTATAAATAAAACACATATAAATTGTGACATACTGTTCAGATTCTTATAGATGTTAACATGAAATCATTTTAAACCTGACATTCAATAACATTGTATCTACAATTCAGTGTGTAAACTTTCTAATTTACAGAAGAAAAATAATGATTAAATCTGCATTCTTACCACTATAATTCATAGTAATTACAATAAGGTGTTAGACAGGAAAGTTCTACTGTAACAATAAGACTCTATAGATTGGTATCATTACTGTATATTGTTACACAGTTATAACAAGAGGCCCATGGGCCACATTGCTCGACTGAGCACTATGGCTAGAAAATAAAAACAGAAATCACTTAAATATTCACCATTAAGTAGTTAAGATAGGGGTATGAAATTTTTAACTACCAACTACCTGATGATACTTCCATACAACGAATGCCTTTACTTTTTTGAACAGATGATTTTTCCCTATTTATTCATTTGACCCACCCACCCCCCTCCCATCGTGTCCGAGGATGCCTCCATATCTACATGATTAAAAATTCCTTCTCTGTTCTTGGGAAAAAATATCCTTCATATTTCTAGATTTCCAATTGAGGCCCACCCTACCTACCCCACTTCACATTTATGACTTGATCATGAACAAACTTGAATCAACACCAGGTAAGAATTCTTACATAAAGATGTGATCAATCATAGCTTTATAGTTTTCTTCAAAAGAAGAGTTTTTAAAAAATGAATTTTCCAATGTATTTATTCCTACATAAAACTTTAATAGTCAATTGTGGCCTCGCCCTATCCCTGGGGGTCATGATTTGAACAAACTTGAATCTACAGTACCTGAGGATGCTTCCACTTGAGTTTCATCTTTCCTGGCCCTGTGGTTCTCGAGAAAAGGATTTTCAATGATTTTTCCTATATATTCCTGTGTAAAACTTTGATCAGCAATAGTGGCCCCGCCCTACCCCCGGGGGTCATCATTTGAACTAATTTGAATCTAAACTCCATGAGGATGCTTCAACATGAGTTTCATCTTTCCTGGCACAATGGTTTTGGAAAAGAAGATTTTAAAAAAATATGCAATTCATTTTTCGCTAATTCATAATTAGTCTACCATTTGAAGAGGACTTGGCCTTTCATTTGATCAAATTTGAGTACCCTTCATCCAAGGATGCTTTGTAGCAAGTTTGGTTGAAATTGGCCCCGTGGTTCTTGAGAAGAAGTCGAAAATGTGAAAAGTTTACAGACAGACGGACGCTGGACAAAATGTGATCAGAAAAGCTCACTTGGGCCTTCAGCTCAGGTGAGCTAAAAAAATAAATTCAGGCATTCATTAGTTAAATCTGTCAAAATTGTGACTTCTTCACCTCTTTAGCTTTACATACTTGAACAGCTTATCCTGGGAGACCTGTGAATATAAAACTCAGTACAATAAGTAAATATTTCTGTATACATGTAATTTCAATGTTTAAAAAACTAATGTACTGTATAACATATTTTAGATTATTCATGGAAATGTAAACCTGAATTTTGTCAAGTCTTTAAAATACCAACTCGTAATATTAAACAAGAGGCCCATGGGCCACATCGCTCACCTGAGAACTATGGCTAGGAAAAAATACAATTTGGTTTATTATTGAAAAGTTTAAATCCAATAGTAGTTAAATGACCAATCATGGCTTTGCTATTCTTGATAAGATGAAAATTTTCCTATATATTTCTATGTAAAAATTGTCGGCCATTGTGGCCCCGCCCTACCCCTGGGGGTCAAGATTTGAACAAACTTGAGTCTACACTACCTGAGGATGTTTGCCCATAAGTTTCATCTTTCCTGGCACAGTGGTTCTTAAGAAAGTTATTAAAACATCCCCCTAGATTTTCTTTAATTCCAAATTATATCCCTTTGAATGAGGGTGTGGCCCTTCATTTGAAGAAACTTAAATCCCCGTCACCAAAGGATGCTTTGTGGCAAGTTTGACTGAATTTGGCCCAGTGGTTCTTGAGAAGTCGAAAATGTTAAAAGTTTACCGACAGACAGATGAATACTGGACAAAATGTGATCAGAAAAGCTCGCTTGAGCCTTTGGCTCAGGTGAGCTAAAAATTAAGAGATTTTTGAAACCTGTCAAAATTTGATTTCTTCAGCCTCTTTAGCTTTACATAGTTAAACAGCACATCATGGGAGACCTGTGAAAACAAACTCAGTATAATGAGTACATGTAAATATTTCTGTATAGCTTCAATGTCTTAAAAGACTTATGTTATACATGTAGTATGGTTTAATTTAGATTATTCACAGAAATGTTTCATGTTGCATTGATAAAAGTTATCTGATACTCCCAAAACTGTAACACACTTCTTAATTTACTTTCCAATTGTCACAAACCTGTTAGATATAAAGGTACTGTATAGGGGATTTATTTCAAGGGTTGTAATTTTCATGTTTTTCTTTTCTTTGACACAATCACGGTTTCTTGAATTCGCAGTATTGGTATATGATAAATCCATTAACACTGTGAATATAGCGAATATTAACACCGCAAGTTATTTTCCCCCTAGACAGAACTAGAACTAGAAATATAAATATGTCCAGAGGACATGAATGCCCCGCCGAGGGTATATTAGTAAAGCAACATGAAAATTTGTATAAATGCATGAAATTTGATAAAAATATCCTGAATAGTGATGCAGTTGAAGTGCTTACATTAGTATGTATCAGCATATGAAGTTTGACACTAATTTCATTAAAGCGAGGTCAAGGTCCAAGGAAATGCCAAGTTAAAACAAAGTGCCACGCCACAGCATGATACGCCCGTCAAAAAATTGCCATTATTTTAAACAGTCATGTAAACCTTGATTTTAAAATTTCCATGATTTTTTCTATTTCTTAAAATAGTTGTTTATCCATTGATATCCCGTGTGGTGTAGGCATTAATCATAACAAATTACATCAATGATAGATTTCTATACTGGTTGTATTAGACCTTGTCAAATGCCCATCATATTTAACAATATAAAATGATTAGTCTTCACAACTTAATCTATATCAAATTAATTTTGAAAATAAAAGACTACATCGATGCCATCAAATGACACATGCTTTTTAAACTGACCAGCAGTTCTTCTGTCTTATTCCCAAAGGATGCAGATAAGAATATGCTAGCTTTGACTGGATGCTTGTCTACTCATTTCCATAGATGAATAAATCTGCAATATGTACCATAATTTTTTTTAAAAACATATAAAATACTCATGACAATGATTTTTTTCAACATTTTATCTCAGAAAGGTTTTAATATGCAATTTCTATGGAAAATGACATGCTGATTCCATCCTTATGAAATTAGTTTTTAAATTAATAATATTATATAATATATGATTAGTTTATTATGCAATATCAAATAAGTGTTAATTACTTTTCATCAAAATCATTTTAAAATTTAATACAAAAGCTATTTTTTCTTCCAACAGGCTTACCAATCTGCCTAATTCCAAAAGGGATATAGATAATACCGATGCTCTCAAGTTAGCTCCTCGCACTAAACCCATTAATTTCTCTCTAATTTGACATACAATTTTATGTTATCAAAACTCCTGTAAAGGTCCTAGGGGAACTAAGGACGAAGTCCCTAGCAGCCTCCGATCACGTGGCCGGCAGTGATGCGGGCTATGACGTAATCGTCACTCTCTTCCATGCTGATCGTCGACCTGACCAGACGTGTTATATTGTACTCTGTAAGTTTGTGTAATTGTTACATATTATTGGCGACCACTAACGCAATAAAGAGCGGATTTTATCTCATAGTATTTTCCCTGATTATTCCGCCATCACAGTTCACCATGTAGATACAGGTAGAAAATACTATACTCCTGAGCAGTGTTTGATAATTACATTCATGGGAGACATGGGATTTCTCTAACATACATTATATTTGTTATAGATTGCTGTCAAAAATTGTTGAAAAAAATAAATGTTTTCTTGATTTCACACTTTTTTAAAGGTGATTCGAACGTGACGAAAATACGTCAACTGCAAAACGCGAAACGTCACGGAAATTTAATCTCTACACCAAATGTTCTAATACTTAAACTTTTTAATACAATAATTATAAATTTTATTTCATTAATAAACAAAAAAAAAGAAATAATTGAATACGGAAAAATTATATTGTTTTTTATCCTTGATTTTATTTAACATGATGTTTTATTAATTTATGTATTAGAGCATTTGGTGTAGAGATTACATCTCTGTGACGTCAGCTGATGGCAATCGGGCCTTGGAACGAAATTCGAATTTTGCATGAATTTTAGTTGTTTGCATTATCAACGCGTTGGATTTAAACTTAAGGAAGAAATATTTAGAGAGAAATATCATATTTGAACCTAATGCTACACGCAAACGTAGGCATGTCCGATTTATATGTTAAATTCAAGCCTGAACCGAGAGGGGGTCAAATTGGCGTTGCACACATTGTGTATTTATATAGGCCTATAGGCCCTAGAGAGGGTAGAATTTTTCGATATTTGGCTTATATAGCAACTTATTGATAAAAATTCAGGTGCCTGTGTAAATACCAACGGGTGTCCATTATTCAAACAGCAAGATAGACTAAGGAGTCTGAACGACCTGACCACAATTATTTCAGTCATAAACATTACAAATAGGCCATGTGATTACGTTGAAACGGTTACATGTACATGC